GATAAAATAATGGAATACTTTATTTGAATTTCATATGACGAGGGCTATCGGTGCTAGCCGTCGTTAATTTAGCACCCACCACCAACTCTTGAGCTACTCTTTTACCTATGAATAGTGGAATTGATCGTCACATTATAACTCCCCGTTCCTAATTTTGAACTTACAGTGTTTTTTTTTTTTTTGGCCTGACGAAACATAAACTGTCATTCACAGTTTAGCCACGCAGTTATTAGGCCATGGCCTGTTCTTCTCCTTCTAAATTGTTTTGCATAAAATGAAACAAAGGGAATAGTTGGTCTTGTAATTTCGTTTCTAATTTCATTCTACTTTGAAACTGATAGATCTATTGCAGGCTTTCCTTGAATCTTTACAGTTATTTCCTGAGTTTCCCTAACCCTATCCCTGTACTGTGCATCACATGTGAGTCACAGAACATAATGTTAAAGCGCCTGAATATCGTATATGATGTACAACTACGTTTATTTGATATGCAGCTGATGCTTGTGAACATGGCAATAGGAAATGGTTGTTTTGGTTCAACAAATGAGTTTCTAAGAAAGCTTCATATGAGAATCACATGTGACGCTCAAAGCGCATGTGAATGATGACAGGTTAAGATACACTCAAGAGAAAATGTAAACCTAGGATTTTTAGTTGATAAAAGTGTCTACTCCGCTGTCTTTCAATAATACTAGAAGGATATGCTTCATTCATACCTACTTGGGTAAATAATCAGATAAGTGTATCAAATGACCTAAATGACATCAAATGACCTAAAACAAGGAAAGGGTTAAATAAATTGTTTTCTGAAGCTTTAATTAGTAGTTATGGAAGAGAGATCTTACATGAATAACTTTTCAGAAGAACGAGTGTAACAACTGTAGTTTCGCACATATAATAAAGTCATCTTAGTTTAATTCTAGGAATAATGTAAATTAAGAAAGGTCGTAAATTTTCAGAGATTCTTCAAACAGAATTCGTCAGTTTAAATGCTTTAAAGTTTGTTTGTTTGTTTTGAATTTCGCGCAAAGCTACATGAGTGCTATCTGCGCTAGCCGTCCCTAATTTAGCAGTGTAAGACTAGAGGGAAGGCAGCTAGTCATCATCACCCACCGCCAACTCTTGGGCTACTCTTTTAATAACGAATAGTGGGATTGACCGTCACATTATAACGCCCCCACGGCTGAAAGGGCGAGCATGTTTGGTGTGACGGGGATTCGAACCCGCGACCCTCAGATTGCGAGTCGAGTGCCCTAACCACCTGGCATTCTGTACAGCCAAATGTTTCTTTAGTTGTTTTGATAAATTATGTTTAAAATTAGATTTTTCTAAATCAAAATAAACAAATTTCGTTCTTTTCACCACATTTGTAAACAATGGCATTTATAAGAATAATTTACGGTGTTATTTCTTAATTCTATAAAAGAGTTTACGAACTATGAATTCGCGATTAAAGGTAATTTGGAATTTTCAGTCTCTCTCTATATAACTTAAAAGTTTCACAGTAATGCGTAAAATAATGCAGACTTTTGATGTAGAATGTTTACACCAACATTCCTTTAGAAGAAGCGACGGGTTGTAGCAGGTTAATATTTTATTCGTCTAATATTCACACTGTCCTATTAGATACTTTTTTTTTTGTAAGTTAGCGTAGTCAGCACTGAAGGAATCGTACATTGTGTTTAATGGGTTAACTTATGATTAACTCATTTATTTGTTTTAGCGCAAAACAAATAGGATATCTGCGCTCTGTCCACCAGAAGGAAATCGAAACCTAAATTTTAGCGTTTTAAATCCATAAGATTATCGCTGACTCCCTGAAGAACTTTATGATCAAAGTGGTGGAGGTAACTTATTGGATTTAAATTTACTTTGTTATTGTAACGGATTTATTATTATATATATTTATTTTAATATCAACGTTTGTTTAGATTAAGTTTATATTTAGAAATACGCATAGTTTATAGTGTTAAATATGTATTGCGAAACTCCCGCCTATTCTCTAAAGTTGAAGAAGAGTCTCGAGTGTAAGAATCAACAATATATGTGTATACGTAAACACAAGCGTAGCTTTGTATTGTTACGTATTCTGAATTTTCGAGAATCTCTCCACACGCCTATAAATATAACCAACGTGACGCACCTAAAAAAAGAGTATCTATTATTGGTTTGCTATAGTTGGTGTGCTATAAAGTTTGGAAGCTATAACTATGATTGTTATAACGCTTATTAATCGGAAAACTTAAGTTACTTGACCAGGAACGTTTATAAATTTCGAACACTACAAACCATTTAACTTCGGTGGATTCACATCGGACATTAGTACTTTTACGAAAATATTACGTAATCTCACCGGTAGGAAAAATTTTGGCGTATGATCACATCGGGGACAGCGCTGGCTCTTCCTGATGAAGTGGCCGAGGTGATCTCGACGAAAAACTGAGGGGACTGCACTCTATATCTTCTGGGCACACATACTGAAGTACTTAGGAAGCGAACTAGCTTTAACAGTAAACATTGTTCTTTGGGTTTGAGAGTGAGGCTAAAGGGGAGACTAAAGCACATTTTGGGGTAGCTTCAGTCCCAGCAATCCTCCCCTTACCGTCGCTCCTGTATCACATAGTGTTTTACATGATTTGTTACCTAAATTTGACCGATCAAAAAGTGCAAACGAAAAAAACACACAATGTGCAATATTATCTAACATATATTGACCTAGGTATTTCTTTTGAATCGTTTGTGATATTGTGAAACTCGCACTGGATGTTTTTCTAATAAAGAATCACTTTTAAAGAAATTATTAACAAAACAAAAATTAGCTATAGATTAATAAATACTAAGCATTAGAATACTGGAGTAAGCACTTTATATGGACTTGAATACTTTTTTTGTTGTTGTTAAAGTTGTTATTCTTGTGTTTATATAAGCAAGAAAAACATGGCATACAACTAAATTGAAATACAGTTTCAAAACAAAGCGTAACAATAAATTCAAAACGAAAACTATACAGTATAAAATTATTTCATGTTAAGATGCCATGTAAAGCTAATTAGTTGGTTTCAGGCTCGTGCAGGTGAATATGTATTCCCTACCCAATTAGTGAGGAGAACATTGTTGTTTAGGATAAATATCGGCGAGTGACAAAGTTAGATGTATGACAAACGTTCAGCATCCAATAAATAAGTTTTTAGATCATCTTGGTAAACAGCTGAATAGTAAGCCGACAATAAAAACAACCCGGTCATCAGTTGTTTTTTGGAATATTTTTCGCCTGAGGACCAAACTGCTTATTTTACATGGTCTTATATAACTTTCCAACTAAGAAAAAAATATGAAACCTTGCCTAGACAAAATTGTTGTTCCCCCGACCACTTGTGATTCGATTGGCAGGTTCTGTTTGATGATCCAATCTCGCTGTGACCGGCCTTGCACGAGAATTGAACAGTATCTCCTAAGTTGTAGGAGTTACCCGATTTAAATCCATTGATTGGCACGCCAGGATCAGGACAATAATAGCCTGAAAAAATGAAATAAATATGAGGTATTTTAATGAAGTAAGTGTAAAAACACTCAACTCTGACTCATTCATTTCAAATTATCTTTTTTCTTCTCACGACTATCAGTCTTAGCCTTTATATGTTAATTGCTAATCATTCCTGGATAAGGATACATATAACCAACTAACTTTATAGATATAAGTGTTGCGATACTAAACATTTAAAATTTATCCTACTATTTTCTAATATACTTTAAACTCAAGAATCTATACAAAATAAAACTGGCTATAAAAGAAATTATACTAATACTCCAACATAAATAGTGTACTCATAGCAATAAAGGTGACGATGATATATTTTCTTGACTCTCAAAAGTAAATTTCTTGTTTGTTTTTAAGCACCAAGTTACGCTGTGCCCATTGCAAGGATCGAACCATGAAATTTAACATTATAAATTCTCAAGCTTATCGTTGAGCCGCCTATGAGCTCTCAAATGAAGGAGTGTTGTAATTTATCAAATATTTTTCAATATATCCTTAAAGATTATGGATTGAGTATATAACGTCATAAGTTAATATTTTAGGATTTCAAAATCATATAATTAAAAAAGAAGTTATTTATTCTCGTAAGTCACATGCCAGAAATCTATCATATGTTAAAAAGCATTTAGTGTAGAGCGTACACACTTTTAAGTCTTTTAAGCTTACTTCAGAATTAAAGACACGTGCTTTGAATTCAACGTTCTTCTCTTCATGTACGGATATTAAGAAGTGTCTTTAGAAAATGTTTATATTTCACAAAGTTTGACCTGAATTAATTCAAAAATATAATAGCAACAACTTTTACAGTAGGCAAATTCTTATTTTAATAGTTACAGCATTTCGTCCCTAGTATAGAGTCATCATCAGGTAATATTTACTCTTACCTGATGATGATTCGACACTGTGACTCGAAACGTTGTAATAATTAAAATCAGAAGTTACTCTAAAAGTTGCTGCTATTGTATTTTTGAATTAATTGTTCACCTTAGAAAGTTCCTCACTAAACATTAAATTTTGAGGTAGATTAAAAATGGAAAGAGAAAACGAATAAAAAAGATTGATCGAAAAATACTCTAAAAAGAATGTTTTTATTTCGTTTCTGGATCGTTTAAAGTACTTCTGCCTTGACCTTGCAATTGTTTAAAAGAAAAATCTCTCAAACAATTAATAAAAGACAAACGTTGAATAGTCACACGTAGTAAGCTTTTTTATTCCACAATAATGTTTAGTTACTTACGTGAGTGATCACAAGTAGCAAGTCTTCCACTCCATCTTCCATTTCCTAAACAAATTCTTTCTTCTGATCCTAAAATTCTATAATCCGAAAAACATGAAAATGTCACTCTGTCTCCAATGTTAAATGGACCAGCTCCCTGTCTTTGTCCATTTTCTGGGATTCCTGGGTCAGGGCAAGTTATAACTAAAAGAACAAAGTTGCTTTAGCCTAACTTCCTTCAGTTGTTGATATTTTTCATATAAACTGTACTTTTAGTGCCAGATACTACGGAAATAACACTTAACTTTAAAAATCATTTATATCAGTTATAATTAGAAAAAACTTAACTTACGCACTTTTGAAGTTTACCATGTGAAGCCGCAGAATACTTAAATAAAAGCCATGTGAAGCCGCAAAATACTTAAATAAAAGCCATGTGAAGCCGCAAAATACTTAAATAAAAGCCATGTGAAGCCGCAGAATACTTCAATAAAAGCCATGTGAAGCCGCAGAATACTTAAATAAAAGGAATGATAACTAGATCGAAAGAAAAATGCACGTTTCCATATTTTTCTTAATTGTATGTAACAATTAAAGTATTAAGTCTGTCAGAGATATCACTCAGGGTAAAAAGTAAGTCATTTTTCTTTCGTTCTTCATTATTTCTCATTTTAACTTTCACAATAAAGGAGAATGAAGAAAATGGAATTACCTTCTGATTTACTCAAAGAAACTTCATAAGTTATTTTATTTTACCCTCTGTGATACATAAAAATGTATATGACGTTAATGATTTAAAGAAATCATTACATATATAAATATCAAGCTAATTACTTTAATTCAAATTAAGTCATGAGTAAACAAAATTATCAGGATTAGAAAAGGTTTCATCAGTAAATATAGAAACTATTAGTGTAACTATTTGGATTGGAAAAGGTTTCATCAGTAAACATAGAAACTATTAGTGTAACTATTAGGATGAGAAAAGGTTTCATCAGTAAACATAGAAACTCTATTAGTGTAATTATTCGGATTGGAAAAGGTTTCATCAGTAAACATAGAAACTCTATTTGTGTAATTATTCGGATTGGAAAAGGTTTCATCAGTAAACATAGAAACTTTATTAGTGTAACTACTCGGATTGGAAAAGGTTTCATCAGTAAACTTAGAAACTATTAGTGTAACTATTAGGATTAGAAAAGGTTTCATCAGTAAACATAGAAAGTATTAGTGTAACTATTCGGATTGGAAAAGGTTTCATCAGTAAACATAGAAACTATTAGTGTAACTATTAGGATTAGAAAAGGTTTCATCAGTAAACATAGAAACTATTAGTGTAACTATTAGGATTAGAAAAGGTTTTATCAGTAAACATAGAAACTATTAGTGTAACTACTATTAATTTTACTTACGTTGACATGTTGGTAAATCACTGGACCAACCTAGGTAAGTACACTTTATCCATGAACTCCCAATAAGACGATAGTTTGGATCGCAAATGAAATTTAGATTAAAGCCATCAGAGACTACAGTTAGGTTGGTATCCTCAGTCTCAACAATTCTTCCGTTTTCCAGGTATTGTGGTACCTTGCACGAAGTTACTATAAAACCACGAAACGTAAGTTAAGTATAGAAATTGTGGATTAAGAAAGTAAAAATCAAAGATTAGTCAATGTTTAAGTGAGCTTCACATAACTGTGCATTCTTTGAAGAGATAAGTCACAGACTAAAATTTGGATGTTAAATAACATTGTATTCTTACATTTTGTCTACTGTATACTTTGAATTACTAACTCTATACGTATGTTTGTCAAAAAACATTCCACAAAAAACGAAAGATATCAAAAAATTGTATGTATTGTATCGACAACAATTCTGGTCACTTGCTCCGTAAAAACTGGAGTTACACATACCTCCACATACAGGAAACGGAGAATCCCACTCTCCATTGTCTTTGCAATATAAATATTCGGAACCGGACAACAAGCTGTATCCAGTATCACAGTAGGATTCGAATTCATCATCAGGTAAATAGTAATCTCCTTCTTTCCAAGGCTTCATAACTACCTTAGGTATATCCGGTGGAAAAGGACAGGTTGTTGCATTAAGAGCTAAAATACATTTAACCACAAAATCATATATTAGTTAGTCTAGAAGGAACTCAGCATCTTTAAAACATTTAAGTAAGTAGGTACAAGGCCATAGACATTTACATAAGTAGGTACAAGGCCATTTACGCTAACAGAGAAACTTTCTCAGGTCTAAAAGGTCAATTCCTAGCAAAACTAAATTTGCTTCAAGCTGCTTTGAAAGTCCTAAAATAGATTATGAAGTCATGAAACCGGTCCGATTTGATTACGATAAAGACTAACTATTTATGAAGTGAAAGGATTTTTATAAGTGTGTAACAGAAGTAAGAGTTAAAAGCACAAAATCAAATGGCGAACGTGAGTGTCTATTTCTATTTTATAATGATTCACAAGATTGACTGCTTTTTTCTACCCTCTTCTCCACCCATTTATTTTTCAAACTGAGAATAGTTTAATTTTTATCAAAATATTAGGTGAGATAACATTAATGTTTAGTGTGGTTTCAGGCACACCAAGAGCGAGTGATTAGAAATGTAATTATTTTAAGTCCGTAAATATGAAGAACAATCAGTGATAATGGATTCAATGCTGACTAATATGGCCTTGTACCTACTTACGTAAATGTCTATGGCCTTGTACCTACTTATGTAAATGTCTATGGCCTTGTACCTACTTATGTAAATGTCTATGGCCTTGTATCTACTTACGTAAATGTTTATGGCCTTGTACCTACTTACGTAAATGTCTATGGCCTTGTACCTACTTATGTAAATGTCTATGGCCTTGTACCTACTTATGTAAATGTCTATGGCCTTGTATCTACTTACGTAAATGTCTATGGCCTTGTACCTACTTACGTTTAATTCCGGAAATAGGAATATAACTTCGGAACCCAGCTATTCAGGTCTTGTTTATAAAAGTAATATATTTTGTTTTTAGTTAAACACGTATGTTTTTGTTTTTTGCTGTTGTTTTTGTAGACACAATGCTTGCACTAGAATTTGTACCAGAAAAAAATCAAACACAACATAGACATAAATGAAAATGAAAACCCAGAGCACGAAACATAAAGCAAGAAATAACATACACACAAACAAATATTACTTTGGTATGTTTTTTGATGTATGGTAAAACCATACAATAAAAGCAGATCTCTTAACACGGTTTATTGTGTCAGTAGTAAATGTCCAAACGCACCTTATCACTACAGCTTCCCCCCCTTAAATATCATTATGAAAAAAAAAAAACAAGTAATCTTATACTAGTATAAACTTCATATTAAAACTTTAATGTACGCTCATCTAACCATTTATAGACTGTTATGATGGGCCATGTGGCATTAATGACGATGAATTACAAAAACCACGATTTAATTGATGATATAAAAATCGATTTTTCATTGATGCTGGTTCTCTCTTCTAAAGGGTGATAATAGGTTAATTAGTTAACCGTAACTGTTCAGACTTCAAAACATGGGCTCGCCTAATACCAGAATGTAGATTAGTGTATCTTTTCAGACTTCAAAACATGGGCTCGCCTAATTCCAGAATGTAGATTAGTGTATCTTTTCAGACTTCAAAACATGGGCTCGCCTAATTCCAGAATGTAGATTAGTGTATCTTTTCAGACTTCAAAACATGGGCTCGCCTAATTCCAGAATGTAGATCAGTGTATCTTTTCGGACTTCAAAACATGGGCTAGCTTAATTCTGGAATGTAGATAAACGTAACTGTTCAGACTTCCTAAAATGGGCTAAGCTAATTCTAGAACTTATATCAATGCAACTGTTCTAGAAGTTTTTCTAAGCTGGGCTAAGCTAATTCTAGAACTTATATCAATGCAACTGTTCTAGAA